CGCCGTGTCGTCTTCGACGACATTCAGTCCTAGGTACTGAGTAACTTCGTCGGACACCGTAAGTGTTAAGTCTTCTTTCAACTCCCCTTCGAACCAGGTGGCGATGTTGGTAGTGGAGCCGATGTAGAGCAGGTCGTCGACGTAGACGATGAGTAGGACGTACTCTCTTCCCTTCTGCAGTCGGTACATCCCTTGGTCATGCGGCAGTTGTAGGAATCCAATTTTTGCGAGACGGCCGTGAAGGTGTTGCTGCCAGAGCCGCGGGGCTTGCTTGATCCCGTATAGGGATTTTGTCAGTCGGCATACTTTCGTGGGGTCGTCGATGAATCCGTGGGGTTGTTCGACGAAAATCTCAGCGTCCACAGGTGCGTATAGGAACGCATTGGCGACGTCGATTTGGCGTAGTGGTAGTGTCTTCGTGGCGGCGACGGCGAGTAGGATGCGTAATGAGGTGTGACGGGAGACTGGAGCGAAGGTTTCTGTGTAGTCAGTTCCGTATCGTTGATCGAAGCCTCGTACGACCCATCGAGCTTTGAATCGTTCGATGGAGCCGTCTGAGTTGGTCTTGATGCGGTACACCCATTTCCCCGAGAGGACGTTCTTCCCGTTGATGCTTGTTGCAGGTACCAGTTTCCATGTTTCTCGGTCTTGCAGAGCCTTTAACTCCTTTTCCATCGCTTCTTTCCATTTTGCCTTATGTTCCCCCCCCAGAGCCTGCGACAAGGTCGAGGGCTCACGCGGAGAAGGCGGCGGCGGATGCTGGACGGAGACCCAGAGGCCTAGAATCTGCAGTCCCGTGGGTGTGTGTCGAGGGGAATTTTCATTCCCGGAATAAGCTGCTTCGTCACCGTCTTCTGGGTCAGGTAAGAAGTTGGGACCGATGCGTTCTGAAACATTTGTGTCGACTGGGTGGGGTGTAATGTAACCTTGGTCAGCGAAGTGGTAAAAGGTGTCGAGGTTGTTGCTATCGAGAGGATTGTCTTCGTCGAGTGGAACAGGGACGGAACAGAATGGGAGTGGTCCGGCAGCTTCCGAGGCTTCAGGTACGTCTTCTTCTGCTGCGTCAGCTTCGGCAGCACGGTCGGCGAAGGAACGAAGTCCCGAGAAGCCGTCGATGGGGTCTTGTGTGTTGGCAATGTTGTCCAGGTAATGCTGCAGCGTCAGTCGCTCGTAGAAAATAACATCACGTGATGCCACGGTATTTTTGTCTTGTATGTCGAGAATTTTCCACGCGTGAAAGTGTTTTGCGATGCCGAGGTGTAGTCCCCACCGAGCTCGTTGTGTGAAGCGTCCTGCTCGGGCTGTGTGGGGTCTGTACTGTACCATGCAGCCGAAGACTCGGAGTAATTTTGTGCTGCCCCTTTTTCTTGTCCACAACAGGTGCGGTGATGCGTTGTTGGGAAGTGATGACGAGGACAATAGGTTGTGCAGGTGAACTGCATGTGTCATCGCGTCTGGCCACAGTGTGGTGGGCAGCCTCATCCCCAGAAGTAGTTTTCGCATTGTCATCTGCAAGGTCCGGTTCATGCGTTCTGCTACCCCCTGCTGTTGGTGAGCATAGGGTAGAGACACCAGGCGTCGGATTCCTCTTTCCGCCAGATAGGTCCTGAAGCGTTGTGACTGGTATTCCAGTGCACCGTCTGACTGGAAGCTCTTGAGTTTGGTTCCTGATTCTCGTTCGGCGATGGGAAGCCATGTGGTGAAGGCCTCGAAGGCTTGATCGCGCGTTTTGAGATTGAAGTGCCAAACGTATCTGGTTGCTGCGTCGATGAACGTGATGACGTAGTTGAAGTCGGCTTCGGTGTCTTCTCGAGGCATGTTTAAAATATCGCTGTAGGCCTTTTCCATCGGAGCGTAAGTAGGGGCGCTTGGGTTGTGATGAGATGGGAAAGGTTGATGAGGAAGATCTGCTTCGGGGCACGTGAAGCACCGTGCTCGTGGTCGTCGAAGTTCTTGGCCGCTCGTCGTTAGAAGGGCGTTGCGTTCTAACACCTCTGCTTGGATTGTTTGTAGTATCGTGCTGTTTGCAGGATGTCCGAGACGTTGGTGCCAGATGTCGTCGGAAGCGCGATGACCGGGCGAGCGGTGGTAGATGTCGGCGTTGGAGAAGAACGCGACGACTGAGGCGGGACTTCGACAAACTTCTCGTGTGATGGGCATAAGCTGGTCTGCTTCGGTTGGCGGTCCTCGGGTCGCTGGTGGTGGGACTCGGCTGGGTCCTGCTGTCGATACTGCAGGTGATGGTTTGGTTGGGATACTTGCGGGTACTTGTCTTTCTTGTCTGATAACTGCTAATGCTCGTGTTCTCTCTGCTGCAGGTATGATGTTGGAGTGCCAGAAGCTGTCACTGTCGAAGTCGGGATCAAGATCCGGCGGGTGAGTCCAGGCGGTGAACGATACGATACCGTCGCTGTCGGCAGTACCGCGGTCGGGGACGAAGTCCAATACGAAGACGCCAGACTTCAGGAGGGCACGACCGATGAAGAGGCCGCCCTTCCCGTGGTAAAGCCGAAACTCGTTGGAGTAGGAGTCGCACTCCAGGTGAATCCCCTTGGCCATTAGTTGGCTTACGCTTAGTAGGTTGTATCCCAGATTGTCGACAATGAGCACTTTGTTGAGCTGAAGTATGACGTTTGTCTCCATGGATTGTAACTGAACCACGCCTTGTCTGTTTGTCTTCAGGTTTTCGTTGTTGGCGACGGTGATGACGACGTCGCGGTTGAGGCGTTTCTCCTGTTGCACGAAGCGTCCCGAGGAGCACATGTGTTGACCGCAGCAGCTGTCCAAGAACCAGGTGTTTCGCCCGGTGGGTTCGGCGTTGGCGACCGCAGCATATGTTGGATTGACTTGAAGGCCTTGTGAGCGCGGTGGCGGCAGCTCTTCTTCGTCTGGCGCGTAGGTGGGTGGTGATCCGGGTGCGCAGTTGTCGATGTGTACCATGCAATTGATAATGTTTGGTGTTTGTTGTGCAGATGTTGAAGAGCGCCTTGGGGGACTTGCTTGAGTGGAGGCGACTTGTGGGTCTGCTGGACGGTAAACGCGAGGGCGGTTGCAGTTGACCTTGGAGTGCCCGGAAGTCTGGCAGTTGTGGCAGAACGGCGGCACGAAGGTAAGTCCCCTGTTGTCGCGTTCTTGCTTGCCGCGTCGATTGTAGGTGTTGTCGTTTCTTCGTTGAGTGTAGAAGACTAACTGCTGTTGCTTTCTTGGTTGTCTTTCTTCGAACAGGTCCATCTCCTGTTGTTCAGCGTGAAGCTCGGCGCAGAGGTGCATCTCCGAAATCCTTCCGTGGGCGCGAAGAAGCGATCGTGTGGTTCTCCATTCTGGCCCGAGCCCGGCGAGGACAAGTGTTACAAAGCTTTCTTCAGTGATTGTTCCTCCGCACCGAAGCAGGCGGTCGCGGAGGGTCTGGCAGCGACTCATATACTGCATCGCCTTTTCCCCGGTCTTCATCTGTATTGTTGTCAGTTGTTGCATGAGTCTGCTTTGTGTCACGCTGTCGTTTGCTTGGTAAAGGCACTTGAGATGGTGCCATGCGAGCTCCGCGGAGTTTCCATAGCTCCTGTATGTTCTGATGCTCTGCTGTTCTTGTGGTGACAGGTTTCTCAGGAGAACCGTATACACCAGCAGCGACTGATACGTGAAGATTTCTTGTTCCTTTCCAGTGCCGTTGCTTGGGAATGGCAGGGACCCGTTGAAGTATCCCAGAAGATGCGCGGCCTCCATCAGCAGCTCGAACTCGAAGCTCCAGGTAAAGAAGTCGTGTCCGTTGAACGGTGAGGATGTCTGTAGTTTTATCACGTGCGAGAACTGCGCCTGGAGACTTAAGATTTCGTTTGGTGTTTGTTGTGATGCAGCTGCTGTTGGTTGGGCACGGGGCGGCATAAACTCGAACGTCCCCGGTGAAGAGTGATAAGGCGCAAAGGTAGGCGCTTAATTGTGTCGCCCAAACGATGAGTTGTCGAGGCTCATCGGCGCTAATCCCATGTTTCCTCCATTGCTTTGTGTTGAATGCGCAGGTGTCCTTGTCTGCTGCTGCTGGTCGAAGTGCGACATGAAGCTGAAGAACCTTTCCATAAGATTGGGGTCCACGCTTGAAGAGGGAGATGGAGTTACCATCTCTGGTACTCTTCCCGTCGTTTCTTGAGCAGTCCCGGTCTCTGTCTGCAGTCCTGAGGTGTGCAGACCAGAGTTGCCGTGTTGAGTTTCTTGGCCGCTGGGTGAGCCCGTAGAGACTTTCTTGCCCTTGCTGTCCATGTCTTGTAATCAATGAAGTCGTTGAATTGAGTTGAGTTGCAGGTTGTTGATGGAGCGTAGTTGCTGGGAGTTTGGTCTCTGACCAGCTCTCATACTATGTTGGGCTGAGAAAAGCCCTTAGGATCTTTTGCAGAGACTAAGTCCCAGCTGTAGAGACTTTCAGACTTTGAGTAGTGCAGCGGAAGTTTGAGACAGTTGAACCCTTGTACTAGTATGTGAGAACAAGTGATTGATTAAAGAAACAAGCATACAGCAATATATAGAAGATAAGAAAGCAGTTGTAGAGTACAGTTACAAGAACGGTTTATCGAGTCGCACAGTGACTCGATTGCCGCTTCGGTTACCATCCGTGATGTTGTAACGGTCAGTCGCAACCTCCAGTTGCGACCTTTCGAGTCTTTTCGCATTCTTTGTCCGCCCCCTCATGTAACCTCCGTTGACTCGCGTGCTCCCTTGTAGTCTTCCTCGAGTGCAGTGTTACACTTCAGAAACGCTCAAGTCCTTTGAGATATTTCCAACACTTGGTGTGGCATAGCTGTCAACATATATTTGTATATGTTATTTATAGGCTAGTTAGGTGCATGCTCATAGAGAGTACAACTTTTTAGGACAAACCCACCATGTATCACTCGTTCCAGTTCATTGCGATATTCGTTATTCTAAGAGAAACATATTTCTTCACTACGATTGAGTAAGCGTACTCTTCGTTTGAAATGGTTTCATACCCAGGAAAATTCTTAGCGGAATTCACACCCTTACAATCATTGCCCCCAAGTGCAGAAAGGTGGGGTGTTGTACATTAACCAACAGAAAACCACTCACTCATAATTGCTGCTACTGTTGTATCCACCTGTACACTATACGGTCGCCTCCCATCGTTTTCAGTAGTATAATGTTTCCCTTTCCACCATAGTTTCATGTGCAGTCTCATCGATTGCTCTCAACCCTTCCCTTACCACCCGTAAACCCCCAAGGATCGCAAAACACCGTCCAGAAATCACAGCACAGGAGGCAGGGTGGGGTCTCGAATGATATGCGGCTTGAAGTTTGGGCGGCAGTACTTGTCCATCAGTTCCCAATACCTACATGTCGTACTGAGCAGTCGTCTGGAAGCCAAACTTGTCTCGCACCTGGAGGAGAGAAGGGAGGAGGGGCGGGTTTTGGGGGGGGGAGAGGGGAGAGAGTAGGGGAAATGAAGGGCTTGTACAAAAGAGAGGACATGTTGTGTCAAGCAGTCGTTCGGAAGCCCCACTTGTCTCGCACCTAGAGGAGAGAGGGAGGGGGAGTGGAGGGGAAGGGGGGGTGGTGCAGGAAGGAAGTGTGTGAATGAAAAAGAGGGCATGCTGTACCGAGCAGTTGTCTGGAAGCCCCACTTGTCTTGCATCGGAAAAGAGAAGGGTGCATGGAGCAGTGTGGGCGTGTGGAGTAGAGGAGAACTAGTGTGCGGCGACCGGGGTTCCAAAGGGTACCACTACCAGTATGCCCGCATCCTCCCACCCTTGCATCCATCCTTCTCCCATCCCATCGTCCCTTCATCTCCACCCACATCTAAATCCCTCTCCCTTCCACCCTGCCACTACTGAGGTCCATGCAGGTTCTCAGGAACCTGTGTGTATCTAGAAGGAATAGGTTTTGAAGAAACTCCCCTCGACATACTGGCATCTTTACATCCCAACACTCTTACATCCCTATGTCCTACTCCTAATAATCACCCACCCACCACCCACCCACCCACCTGGCGGCAAAGGTTGAGGTCCAGGTGAGCGATCAAGAGCCCATCCCTGCATCTGGAGGCAGCAGGTGTGCGCGAGCCGTCAGGGGCAGCGAAGTATGAGGACCCGAAGAAATGCCCATTGTGCGTGTTGTTTTGGGCCGGCTTGCTGTTCCCAGAGGTGAAGGCGCTAGGGATGGCCTCTGTGCCCACACGATTCACTGCCCCCACGAACACAATGTTTGCTATGGCAGCACAGCGCGCCTGCCAGTGTGGGGGATGAGGGACACCAGACACGGAAGATTAACGAAACAAGGATGTGCTGAAGGTCTCTGAGCCCACGCGGTGGACCGCCCCCACGAACACACTGTTGGCTATGGCAGAACAGCGCACCTGGGGTTTATAGAAGGAGACATGGGATTAATAGGAGGACTGAGATGGAACGGATCCAGGGGCATTCACCCTTCGAGGAAATCTCCAAACATTGGATGTTTTCATGTTGCTGTGTGTGGGAGAATTGATCTCCATCTACTCACCTCTACAGGTCACAGTGGATACTTGAGGCGCCTCAAGAGTCAAGAGTCTGTCTCTGCACTCACCCCTACAGGTCACATGGGTTCACTGGGCCCCTCCACATCAGCACAGGGGTTGAAGACCATCTCAGCTCCGTTGAGCGCAAGCCCATCTAGTTGAGCAGAAAGCCCATCCACTCAAGTGCGTGGTGGTTTCCTGTGGCCCATTATTCCTCTCCCCAATGCCCCACATTATCCGCCTCTCCCCCCCATACCACCTCACCTCAATAGGTCACAGGGGTTCGCTGAGACCCCCCTCAGCAGCACAGGGGTTGAAGATGATGTCAGCTCTGTTGAGAGCAAAGCCCATCCATTTGGGTGGGTGGTGGTGCCCACGGCCGGTGTTCACGGCTATGCAGCCGAACTCCATCTCAAACACGGGGTGCCCTGTGCTGCTCCCTTCTGTGTGGTAGGGGTGCTCGCTGACGTCACCCCCTTGGGGGATAAGCTTCTGGTGAGGGGAAGGGAGATTCTTCTGAGTCGACTTGAAAACGGTTGTGGCAGGCGTTCACAGCTATGCACGCAAACTCCGTCTCAAACACCATGGGGTGCCCCCTACTGCTGCCCTCTGTGGTTTGTGATGTGTGATAGGAGCTCTGCTGACGTCACCCACATGATGGATGAGTTTCTGGTAAAGGATGAGAGGAAATGAGGAAGGGGGGAAATTTTAGTTGACGCAAAAGCGCTCGTGGCTTCACGTGCTTATGTCTACGCGGACAAACTCTATTCTAAACAACCCGGGTGGCCCGTGCTGTTGCCCTCCATGGGGTGGTGCTCTTGCCAACATCAGACACTCGAGGGACGTGGTTCTGGTAGGGGAGACAGAGTCTGATGGTGTGGGGCCGCTAAGGGGCAGCTCAAAGCAGTACCTGCTCTCATTGAAACCCACTCCCCTCACTATCCTATTATCCCTTCCCCTCCCCTTCTCCATTCAGCACCCTTTCCCTCGTCTCACCATTGCATAGCCTTAACCTGAACTGCCCTGATTCTCCATCACTGACCCCCCATCATTGACCCCCCATCACTGACCCCCCATCACTGACCCCCCATCACTGACCCCATTGACCCCCCAATCACTGACCCCCCATCACTGACCCCCCATCACTGCTTCCTCACCCTTGTCCAACTGTGCCCCTCTCCGCGCCTTCCGGTGCTTCCCAATGCTGCCCACAACCACAGCAGTACTCCACAGAGCATCACTGTGAGTCACGTCCCTTTCAAGCACATGGCTTATGATCACCATCTTGTGCTTTGCTGCCAGCTCGCACGCCAGAGCCACTAAAGGTCCTGCCTTTACCCCCTCTCCACCGCTGCCGCCGCAGCTACTGCTGCTGCTGGCCTGGGCACTGTATTTCCCACCAATAGAAACAGCATCGTTCCTGCTATTAGCCTCCGAAACGACCTCTGCAAGCTCGCACCACTACTTCTGTCACCCTCCAAAAGCCAACGGCGTGGGCCAGGCCTCTTGTTGACACAGCACGTTCACCCCACATGCGGTTGCCGTCTTGATTACCTCTCCCACGCGCAACATGATTGCACTACGCTGCTCGGCGAGAGGAGCTGAGGTTGGTAGGACTAGTCGGTTCTGGACCAGGGCTGCTCGCAACACATGTGGCTCCCAAAGCTGCTCTCGCTCGGCCCCGAACCTGTAAGCCTGGCTGAGAGGAGGTGTGCCATGGACACAGCAGAAAGAAACTAGTGAGGCAGGGAGGGGATGATCTACAGCGGAGGTTCATTCACATAAATGTGCCCTTTTCAGAACGTCAGAACGAGCAACGCCCTCACTGAGAGAAAACACCTTATGATACAGCCCAACTCCTTCCAAGTAACGAAATGACTCACTCAGCGGCTTTACACATTTACCTGCAGGTCAATGTCAAGCCGCCATGCTGCCTTGACTGCTGGTTGCGGAAGGGTTGAGGAAGGTGCTAGGCCTTCACCGTTGGAGTGGCCGTGCAACAAGCGGAAGGCCTCCTGCTCGCAGGCAAGTGGATGGCAAGAGCATCATCAGCTCATGCTGGAAACTCCTGGGAGGAAATAACACGGGCTGCTCAAAGGTGGGAGGGATCCATTGTTAGTCAAGTTTACCATGCGGTTTAGCTTCGAATAACTTGCCTCGGGCTTGTCTTGTGGAAGGTGAGCCTTGAGTAGAGCTTCCAGCGACTCATGGCCGCACAAGGAGCCATTGGGAAGCGACAACCCCACATCCGTTGCAGAGCCGGCTGCCGCCTGGAGATTTCCTCAAGGCAATCAAACAGATGCGCTTTAGTGTGATCAAGAATGAGGCAATGTGGTTGTGTGCGCAGTGCGACACTGGCACTGCTTGGGAGTTGTTTGTCACAAAGCACTACCATACTGAGACTACGGCCATTTTCCTTTCGTTTTCTTTCTTCTCAGAATTGTTTCTGACTGCCGATCACCTCAGAAATTGCAGAAAGCACACAACAATGGACGAGGAGGATCGGAACAGTTTCGAATAGAGCGGATGTGGCATCAAGCACAGGTTTCCACCATGTGATGTGAGGGGCGCACGTCCATGTGGTAGACGAGGAAGTGCGAGCTAATGGCGCAGTCAAGTGACATCACGAGCACCTGATTGATTGATGGACCGCCACCCCCGGCTTGAAGCGCCTAGGAATCTGATGAGATAGAACTTGCTACAGATATTTCATGTCACATTCTTTACACCCAACCACTCGCTCCCTTTCCCATCCTCTCCCCTCCTCTGCACGAATGGTCCCAGATTTGGTCACCGACGTTCTCACTCATGTCACTTCCTCATTGTGAACACATTTCAAACCTCACCTCCTTAGGGCATAATGGTCCAGTGGTCGTTAATGCTCTCTATCTGCTTGGTGTGCGAGAAGAACCTGCAAGGCTACAATCCCCCCCACATTGCAGTATTCCCCCCAACCCACTCACCTTACGCACAGCTCACCTCCTCGGCTAATGGTCCTGTTGCCTCCTTTGACTCCTGCGAGCAGTGGTCGGCAACACGCACATTAAACTCTGCCTCGAATATCATTGTATTGTTAACGAGGAAGCCTTTAGACGGGTCGTATAGATCCTGAAGCGACATGAAGGAGGTAAATCCCCAATCACTCTCCTTCGCAATGAACTGGTGGCTGGTGTCTGGGGAAGATGGGGGGAGAGAGAGAAGAGGGGGAGAGGAGGGAGACAACCGAGTCTAGGTAAGAAAAAGTGGACCAAGCAACCTTAAGAGGGGTCGTAGAGGTCACTGCAGCCACATGAAGGAGGTAAGAAAACGGGGGACCCCAGTCGCTCTCCCTCTCACTGAACTGGTGGCTCGTATCTAGGATAGTCTCGCAGGGATGCAGAGGAGGTTGGAGGATGACAGCGAGTGATGATGAAGATGAAGAGGTGGGTTCGAGCACCCTCCTCTGCATGAAAGCGAGTGATGATGATGATGATGAAGAGGTGGGTTCGGGGAAAGAAAAATGCAGAAAGCGAGTTTCGCACAAGGGTGCCTGCCAAGGTGGGAGAGACACTGGTGGCCTTCATAGATACACCTACTGCGCGAACCGGGGAAGAGAGAGGGGGGGGGTTGGTGGGGGAGGGGGGACGGGAGAGAGAAAGGGCACAAATGACGCAAAAATCGGTAGTAGAAAGATTCATGGAAGAGCTTTGATTGACAAGTTCGAGGCTCTTGATTGTGACGATTAATCACGTGCCAGCTAAGCACCCACCACCAGGAAGCACAACCACCATCATCAACACACACACGTACCAGTTGTAACCCCCAACCATAAAGGAAGGCTTGGAGAAGATCTTCTGTTCTGGCATCTTGGAGAAGTTGTCAATCTGCCATCGGAACGTCTTCGACGGGTTGTTGTCTGCTGCGAGTGGAATTTAACGCGAGTGCACTACGCCGACTCCATGGTGCTGTCTGCTGCTTTTCTTACACCCTCTTATGCATAAGAGGGGGTAAGAACAGGGGCTTCATCTCAGCGCTTACAAGGATTAGTGCAAGGCAGTGAAGAGGCGGGTCGACTTTCAGATATCTGTGGGAGATTCTGCGGTGACTGCTATAAAGAGGTTGATTCATGGGAAGAGGCGAGCGGGGTATTTCGGAGAGGGGAGGGGGAGAACGGGCAAAATGGCATTGACTTGAGAAGGGAGGAAGGTACGAAGGCCAAGGGATAAAGAGAGGAAGTATGATTAGCAAGGCTGGAGAAGACAGATGTGACAGGGAACAAAGGGACGAGGGGGAGGAGAGGGTGGGGAGGAGGGGGGAGAAGTTTAGGGGTACCTTCGTGCACAGCTTGAAAATGTCAAAGCGAAGCAATAAGCGAGATGTGATGAGTACCAACATGAAGGGATCAAGAAAATTTGAGGAGAAGAAAGGAGCGAGGGGGACAAATGCTAGCTAGTGGAAAATAGAAAAGAGGAGAATAAAGAAAGAAAAAAGCGGTGCCTACCTGCCAAACCGTATGGAAACCTAGTTTTTAAAGCTCCCCCGACCTCCACGGCTTCCTGTCTGACCTCCTAAGGAGCAAGAGGGGAGAGATGACATGAGGGGAGGAGGGTGGCAGGAGGGGCACAGGAGGAAAGGGTGTAACGGAAAGTATAAGAGTGGCAGACTGCCATAATGTCTCCAGTGAAAAGTTGTGTTGAAAAACCCAGTAGCAAGCAACGGACCTAGCGCATTGAAAACACTCCAAGTCCATTTTACTTCCATGCATACACTGGGTAACAACAAAGAACATGAGAGGGCACAGGGAACATGACTGAAAAGATGGCTTGAGTTGACTGTACCACAGCAAAAGGAGCAGTCACTCTGCGGTCACCAGAGATCCCTCCAAATCGCCGGTGTCTCCACACTAACTAGTGCAGAAAGGATGGCACACAAACCGCCTGATAACAGGATCTCCTCACCTTTAAATCCCCCCTCTAATATTTCTAAAGGTATTACCTTTGCTCGGGCAGGCGCGACAATGATTGGGTAACGAGGAATGAAATTTTGAGTCACGAAACGAGGGGTTGGGCAAACCAACAAAAAGCTCGGTTAAGAACCCAACCAAGAAGTGGAGGTTGGGGATCAACCCCCCAAACCTAAAATGTGTCGCCTGCCAGCTTGGCGCATGCCTGGCGACACAGCCAAAACAGAGACACCACAAACAGCGAGAGGGGAAACATGGCCGATCGAAACCCCGCTGAACTAGGAACCACACCACCAACACACATGCCGCCCAACTTCAGCGTCTGCGGAGAAGGCCCAGCGACCCATGCCCTACACCCTACGCCCTATGCCCTACACCCACCGTCCCACGCCCCTCCCCCCATCTCCGAAACTCCAAGTTTCGGAGCGTTGCTGAATTGGATTCGAGAGGTGATGAGCATGACAAGAAACACAACTCCTATTCTTACGTACCGATATCTCTACGACATGAAGGTCAGCATTCACGAGATTTTGGATTACAGGGCGACCTACCATACCAGCAATCCAGGCGGAGGATAAGCTTGACCGCACATAAAGTGTCACTCACCTGGTGCCGACACGGGCAATTATTGTAACCCCACAGCCCTACAATACAACAGGCACGCTAAAAAATCCCGAGCACTTCTGGATGCCGAAATACAGAAAATCATCTTGAGCAAGAGGGCACGAAGCTCCGAAACCATGCTCTGTAGGACGAGAAACCCCAGACAGCCTACTCTATTACTGAACGGCGTACCCAGACAACCCCTGTTTTGCCATCTCACCGCTCACCCTTTCTCCCCTGACCCCCGCCCCTGTTTTGCCATCTCACCTCTCTCCCTTTCTCCCTGACTCCCTTCCGCCCCTGTTTTGCCATCTCACCTCCCTCCCTTTCTCCCTGAATCCCTTCCGCCCCTGTTTTGCCATCTCACCTCCCTCCCTTTCTCCCCTGACTCCGTTCCGCCCCTGTTTTGCCATCTCACCTCCCTCCCTTTCTCCCCTGACTCAGTGCCGCCCCTGTCTTGCCATCTCACCTCCCTCCCTTTCTCCCTGACTCTGTTCCACCCCTGTCTTGCTATCTCACCTCCCTCCCTTTCTCCGTGAATCCATTCCGCCCCTATTGTGCCATCTCACCTCCCTCCATTTATCCCCTCACCCCGTTCCGCCTCTTATTTGCCATCTCACCTCCCACCCTTTCTCCCCTGACTCCGTTCCGCCCCTGTTTTGCCATCTCACCTCCCTCCCTTTCTCCCCTGACTCCGTGCCGCCTCTGTTTTGCCATCTCACCTCCCACCCTGCCATCACACCTCCCTCCCTTTCTCCGCTGACCCCGTTCTGCCTCTTATTTGCCATCTCACCTCCCACCCTTTCTCCCCTGACTCAGTTCCGCCCCTGTTTTGCCATCTCACCTCCCTCCCTTTCTCCCCTGACTCTGTTCTGCCTCTGTTTTGCCATTTCACCTCCCACCCTTTCTCCCCTGACTCCGTTCCGCCCCTGTTTTGCCATCTCACCTCCCTCCCTTTCTCCCTGACTCTGTTCCGCCCCTATTGTGCCATCTCACCTCCCTCCCTTTCTCCCTTGACTCCGTTCCGCCTCTTATTTGCCATCTCACCTCCCACCTTTTCTCCCCTGACTCCCTTCCGCCCCTGTTTTGCCATCTCACCTCCCTCCCTTTCTCCCCTGACTCCGCTCCGCCTCTGTTTTGCCATCTCACCTCCCACCCTTTCTCCCTGACTCCGTTCTGCCCCTATTGTGCCATCTCACCTCCCTCCCTTTCTCCCTGACTCTGTTCCTCCCCTATTGTGCCATCTCACCTCCCTCACTTTCTCTCCTGACTCCCTTCCGCCCCTGTTTTGCCATCTCACCTCCCTCCCTTTCTGCCTGGACTCCGTTCCGCCCCTGTTTTTCTGTCTCACTCCCCTCCATTTCTCTCCCCGCTCAATATCTCTCATGCCTCCCTATCTCCCCCCCCCTATTTATTTCCCTCTGTGCCTCACAGCCTCCCTCCGAGCAACCGAGCGCGAACCCACTCACAACCTCAAACCCCCTGTCTCCCCCCTCTTACCCCCCCACCCCCCACATTCTCTCGTGTGGACGGCGGACATGCAGTGCCCGCCCCGATTGCAGGTTGGGCAGAATGAGCCGCCCACGGCAGCAACGTCAACTCCAAACGTCCCAAGGGTTCAGGATGGGGACAGAGGGGGAAGAGGATGAGGATTTCGGGGAGGGGCGAGAGGTGCAGCGTGCGCAGAACCGGAGGCCACCTAGGACATGTACCATGGCAGGGCCACACTCAGTAGTGGGGAGTAATGGCCACAATGGAGCACGGGTACCACGACGCAGGGCATTGAGGCCAACAGGGCAGCCACCACAGATTTTCTGCGCGAACGAGAGGCGGTTGCTTGCCGAGTTTGTAGAGAGGTACCCTAAACAGACCCGGGTGCTTGAGGACTGGGGATTGAATGTTCTGGGAATGACCAGAGGGGTGGGGATTGGACGGGGTGGCCGCGTCAAGGCGCTAGTGGGCATTTTTCTAGGAAAAAACACCACGGCGGATGAATCGGGGTATGTAATCCAGTCAAGCAACCACCGCTTCCGCTGTTACATAGAGTACTCGGCCCTACTAGGCAACCATCCCTTTGCCCGCGTAACACTGCCCTGGATCATCTACGTGGTCATAGCTTCGTTGTACCCCAAGACATCGGGGGTGGGGTACGAGCACTGCCTTCAAAATGATGTCGACTGGTTCAACGTGAAGTGGCAAGTTCCAGACACGATAAACTTCTGGATGCGGGGCTTTGTGCAGGATGAGGCACCAGACGTCAGTGAGCTAGATCCTGAAGAGGCGAGGGTGGGTTGAGATGGAATAATGTGTAGCATTATAAACCTCTTTCAGCTAGGGCCCAAGGACAGACCCAACCATAAAGAACTGTATGTAAACATGTTGCGCATAGGTGGCCGCACACCTATGGAAAATGCAGATGGGCATAGAAACACGCGACATTGCTGCACACTACACAAGTGCTACTGCAAGCCAAACCCGTCCAATGATAGATGAGATCAGGTCTAGGTCAGACACTTTATTGCACCCGCGGGCTGCCTACTCATGCCACGCAACCACCCCTTCGCGGCACAATCCATAATCGGATCGAATGTCAAGCGACCAGCAGAGGCGGAGGCGGGCGTGGAATAGTGCGCAATGACTGCATCTAAGAATTCCTGGGCGTTTGCTACAGTGGTAAAGCGAGGACGCTCAGATAGGGGAAGGGCGTGACTAATAGCAAGCTGCGCGACGACGTCGCGCGACACCAAGACAACGCGAGCAAGTGCAGCAGTGGAAAAGGCCTCACGCTCAACACTGGTGGGAGCACCAGGGAGGGCAGCAGGCACAGCGATGCGCCATCGACATCAACAGCCAGGGAGTGACCGTCCTGACGCTAACCTATAAGGTGATGGCGAAGGTCGACAAGCCACGCCTCGAAGTCGATCGCCCAACCCTCCGCGTCACAATGGTGCCACAATGGTGGCCCAATGGTGCCACAATGGTGGTGCTTGCAAAACAGAGGGAGAAAAGCAGGAGACTACCTACCCAGCACTCACCAGGCCTGGAGCACAATGCTGCCTGTGAGGAGTCTATTTTTGAGGCGCCTCTTTTCTAAGAGCCTATTCTTAAGGTGCCTCAAAAAGCGACTACCTACCCAGCACTCACCAGCCCTGGAGCACAATGCCGCCTGTGAGCACAATGCTGCCCACGAGCCCTAGCGCAATGGGTGGGCAACGAAGGCAGTTGAGGCTAGGGGATTCCCCTGCGTCGGTCGCGATGATGTAGCTTCCGCCCAGTGTCTCAAACCTATACCGAACACCTCCTCGTGTTGTGCCACGACCGTGCTTGAACCCCAGTCCTGCAAGCTCCTCCGGCCACCCCCCCTGGCTACCACTCGTGCTGTGAGGCTGGATGGGGGGGGGGGTGGAAATGAGGGAAAGTTTGCTTATAAAGAAGGTGTGGGAAGAGCCAAGCAGTGCTATAGTTGAACCTAGGGTTTGCCCACTCCTTGCACTCTCCCATTCTACAACCACTCTCCCCTCTCTCCCCCATCTCCCATTCCAATGCAAAAAAACAGCCATATGACTGGCCAACCACGCACCTGCGCAGGGGCCCGTCTCAGGGTTCTTGACCAGTGTATGTATCCCTGTGAACAAGCATATGCGGTGTGAGTAGGAAA